CTTAGAACCTCCTCGGGGGTTCTCGCGTATGCCAGTGAGTACTCATCTCCAGCAAGCACGTTCCCTGAAGTCTTACCCTCGGCACCCTCGTCTTTGGTTGTCACAATGCCACCATTGTCTTTGGGTACCACAATGCCTTCATCTTTTGTGCCTGCATGTCCTAGCTTATTCATCAGTTCTGAAATGCGCTCTGTGAACTCCGCCACTGTCACTCCATATGGTTCAACCTTCTCCCCTGCGTGTTCATAAAGAAGAGATCTGATTACTGCATCTTGACCCGATTCGACTCCTAGAAGACCTGCAACAAGCTGAAACATCGACTCGTAGGGAGTGTGTTTAGTGTCATGTATGTATGTAAGATTGAAAAGTGTCTTCGAATTTCAGGGAATACCTTCTTGGAGGCAGCAGATTTGAGCTTTGGATTTGCTCCAGCATACCCAGTGAGTCCAACATTAGGAAGGATGTAGGTAGCGAGAAGGAAATTCACGTCATTAGCATACGGGTCGAAAGGTGGGTTCGTCCAACAGCCAAGGGCTCTATCCATCACTTTGGTAAATGATTCTGAACTCAAGTTCAGCAATGGCCTTGGAAATCCTTTCACTGTATCTTTAATGGCCCTGCATAAATTCATGTCTAAAGTCTAGTTAGGATGGCACAAAAATGCACATACTCGATCTAGATGAACACAAAGAGCACAAAGAGCAGAGAAAATGCAAGAAATAATATTGACTAAAGGTTTATATGGATGACTTCAAGTGAGAGAGGATATAAAGAATACATAATAACAATTGAATAACCTAAAATAGGCAGCAGGCTCTATAACCCGACAAAAGTCAACTAGAAAAATACCTCACGTGACCAACTTCCTGGTAGGCGAATTGCATGATGATGTCCTTGATGAAGGGGCTCAAGTTGGCCTTTTGAGCACCAACAGGCGATGGCCCTCCCATGGCTAAATCTGGTGCAACTTTATCCAAACCATGTCCCAGAGAGCTAAATAAGAAGAATTCGGCTTCCAGGTACTCTAAATTCAGAGGGAATTCTAAAAGATCAACATCTGATGGGGGAATGAAATGGGCTGCTTCTCTGATACTTGCAGTACAAAGAGATGGCAGATGGAGGAGGATGAGGAAGCTTACAGCAATGGCGGTAATTCTCATACCACATTGTGCCATGCTTTGATATTCACTTCTCTACCGTTGTAATAATATGAGTTTCAGCCCTCTCTTACGAGCATTTTATAGGCTGTTGCTCGTAGAGTTGGTAATATACAAATTTATCTCTTTCGAACAAGATAAAAATAAGTTCACGATGTAATGAAAATACAGAGACTAAAATAGAATAAATTCAAAGTATGACGTATTCCTTAAAAGGTTCGGAGTAAACTCAAAATATACAAGAGACCAACTTTGGAAGAAAGATGGGAATGAAGGGAAGAACTGATACTCATCAAAAGCAGCATTCATGATTCAATCAGATTTCCCGTCAACAAGAAGCAAGAACAATCCCAATATGTCTAAAATTGGGTCAATAATGAATAGGTAAAGTTTCCAATCGGGCAGAGTATTAGAAATTTGAAATTAGATAGCTATGATCTATCTTACAAACACATCCAACTTTGGAAGCTCATCTCAGCCTGAAAATTGTAACTAATTGTGGATATCATTTACTTCCAACCATATTTTTCCACTTAAATTGCTAATGCCTCAACAAATTGGTATGAGATTAATCATTAGTCTAGCTCTACAAACCCAACCGAAAAACAGACGCATCATCATAATGTTTCCAATAGGATTTTAAATTTTCGCCAACATGTTGACATTTGCAGATATTCATAAGTTCGAAATCGACATGAAAGATGAATTACATTTAATAACTTGGTACCCATGGAGAAAACAGTTGCAATGAAGATAATTCGACATCGAGTCACGTGTGGTTTGTTGACATGACCTAAAACCTACAAGTATTTAACTGGTGAAGGGCATATAATTCAGGGAAAATAATGGCAGTTTCAATAACTTCATACCTGAAGTGAAGCAAAACTCCATCACAGAATCGTAGAATTAGCTCAATGCCTTTACGGCCCACTCCGAAGCGAATGCCGATGGTATCAATCATGTGCCATTACGTGATAAGGACAAAATCTAACGCAGCTAAAACAAACCTCATTACATGAAACTCACCTCAACTTCTACTGCCAAATTGAAACTATCCAATTATTCTTTAGTTCTATTTCTCAAGTCTCTGCTGCCTGCAGAAGATTTGATGGCCTTACTTCCGCTGTCGTCGTCGTCGTCGTCACCGTCAACAATAATAATCCCATCTTCAATATCATCACCATAATCATCCAACTCATCTTCACCATCCCAATCCAGTTCATCCTCACTATCATAATCATCCATGTCCTCTTCCTCTTCTTCTTCACTGTAGTCATCTCCTGCACGAAGCGTATGAAACTCGGGAGGTGGAGGGCAATCTTCGGTGATAGCAGCATCCCGCTTAATCACAAGATGTCGAATTACTCTTTCATCCATATCTAACATGCTCTTAAATTCATTAATCCATTTGGCCTCCAGTTCAAAATTCATCAATATGTAATGTGCATAATTGGCTTTCTTTATCTTGTATGCCAGCCTTCGCATTCCCCAGTCACTCAGTCTCCATATCTTCCCTTTCTTCTCCCTTATAAAACCTGCAACAGCATTTTTATTTTAATCAGAAACTGAAGGAAAGTTCAACAGATCTCCAAAGAAACATTGATGCAACTAGGATCAATAAGCAGTTGCTGAACCTGATGGTTGGTTTCTAAAAGCCCACCGTCAGCAGATATTGTCCTCTTTGGGCTTTCCCATTCGAGCTTACCCTCAAAGTTTTTAAAATGCGTCTGCTAGGGAGAGGTTTCCACACCCTTATAAAGGGTGTTTCGTTCTCCTCCCCAACCGATGTGGGATCTCACATTACATGTTCGCTACAACACCGTTTAGAGAAAACAGCCTTGCAGGCAGCACAAAGTCACAGCATAAGAGAGCCAAATTGTCAAGATAGTTGCATTACCATGAACTTTCTCATTTACACTCTCAACCTCTTCTGCGTTCTTCTCGTGAATTAAGAAGACTACCTCATAGTGACGCACTGCAGTGACAAGAAAGGAAATACACCACTTCAAATATAAACAAATACAAGATGAAACTTTTGCCTTCTTTTGACAATAGTTGGGCAAGAAAAATTACACAAACTAAATAAATACAACCTTTTTCTTCCTGTGTTAATGATAAAAACATCAACTCCCTATTCATTGTGTTGTATTAATCATACTTGACCAGAACAAGCAGAAAGTAAGCTTACTTTGTAGAACTTTCGATTCACTTTCCAACTGAAGGTTCAAATATTCATAAAGCTTTTCTGCAAAATTAGGGCAAAAGTGAAATTGATAACTCCTGTTCATAGCCAACATAATCTTCTAAAAGGAAGGCCAACGAATGGATCAAAATGGAATAGAATTAATCACCTTCTTCCGCATCAGCAAATTCGGGGAGAAATTGACCATCTTCAGCAACTCTTTTCTGCGAATCAAAACCAAAAGTCCACTCAAGAAATTTTTCACACTCACGAAGTATATAAGCAGATTAAACATCAGTATATCTGAGCAGCTTCCTATCAAATTTTTGTACTGGTCTCCAATATCTACGCTTAGGAGTTTCAATTCTCGATTCTTAGAAGTTCCTCGAGTGACATATCAGAGAACCTTCAAAAAGCACTTGAAGCAAAGAAGGTATCGAAGAGAATGACATTCAAACAAACCTCCACGAATTCTCGGCTTCTATAATTTCCGCTTCTCGGCTCTTAGATTCAAACCAGTTGGAATAGTTCAAAGAGCAAAGAATCGCCGAAATTTGAAGATAATGAACAGATGACGACAGACACATAAAAATATATAAAGATCAAAAAGAAATGAGAAGCATTAAAACTGCACCTCCTTAAGCAGAACAGCTTCAGGGAAGAAGCCGGTAGTCTCATCAGGTTTGGGAACGGAACGGTGGCCGTCGTCCTTGTTAGAATTGGTTTTCTTTGCCGCGACAACTACGGATTTTCTTGCGAATCCAGTGGGTAGATTGAGAGTGCGAAAGGAAGAGCATACATTGGGAAAATCAGAGAAAAGGATTCGTGATCCCCAGAAGCCATTTCGAGGCAACAGAGTGGGAGCCTTGAGAGAAGGATAAGCTGAAGAAGAAGGAGAAGGGGAGAAAAGAAGAGTATCCATGGTGTATGGAAATGGCAGAATCCGGGATGGACTGAAACGATACCGTTGTAATCGTCTTAAGATATTTATACTCAAAAAAATTAAATGCTCCATTATTTAAAAAAAATTAAATTAAATTAATAAAAATATTTAAAATTGTGTACTTTGTTAAAAAAAAAAACATTTTTTTTTTCACTAATATCTTTAAATTTTATCCTATTAATATCCTTAATTTTTTTTTTTTTTTTGTATAATAAAAGTTTTAATCTTATTTATTCAAAGTTAATATTAATTTCTTTGAATTTATGATCTATTTGAGTATTTGAGTGTAAGCTTAATGTTTAAGATTTTTTTTAAACCGATTATAAAGTCAAAGAAACCCTCTCCCGGGTTAAAAACAATTAAAACTATTTCACTTTACTCAAAAGATAGCCATTTTTTTTTATCTCATTCGTATTTTGACCGTAACAATCGCACTTTGATGGCAATGTACTTGCGATTGTGCAGCACTCCCCTCCCAGCAACAAGTTAAGTCCATTCGTTCTTGCGTCGCCTATGGCCAAGCGACGTATGCTCGAGCCTCTGGCCCCGGTTCAAGAAGAAAGTGTTAGAAAACGGGAGCAAAGAAATTCCGAAAGAGAGTTTCAAAAACAAGATTTGAGAAATTGAAATTGGTGTTATAGGGGAATGTAAGCAAAAAGTCAACAACAACGGCTTACAACATATAACTATCAAGTAGAGAGAAGTTGGCATCTTCAGCCTCATAAAATAAGACCTCTTTTGTATAAGGAAACGGAGGCAGACTTAGGTACAATCTAACTAAAATGATTCACCACGAACAAAGACTAGACAATGGCCTTTATCGAGTGAACGAAAAGGCTCGGGGGCAACCGACGAAGCAGAGCCATACCGAGGCCATGTTCCAGAAAATTCTTCATATATAAGGTTAGTGCAATACCTTAGGGCTGTGGAGTTACTTAGTGTAAATCAGGCCATATATATACAAACTCTTGATGCCATCCTTACCTTACCTTACCTTGTACACTTCAAAATTAGTAGCAGCAGGTTTAACCAAATAACCTCAATAATAATCAACTATATTCCCTACTTCTTTCCCTTCTTCTTTTTCTTGTTCCCACTCCCACTATTATTGCTACTACTTTTGTTAAAACTTCCTCCTGCTTTAGCAGGTGAGCTCTCCGTGGCGCTGCTGCCACCGACGTTGTCGAACGCACCTGTCTGCACGGCATTCTGAAACCACTCGAAGAATTCTTCTTCTGTCATGTTCTCTTCTATGTTTGATGCAGGCATTTGGCCTCCTCTTTGGCTGGAACTTGATCCTCTGGTGTTTTGTTTCGAGGTTACGCTCGTGTTTACGTGAAAACTCGGCCTGTGAGTGTTGGCTGGACATCTCATTCCCTGCACAAATATACAAATCCGTTGCGGGATCGAGAAGAGCAGCATGACATCAATATTACGTGAGATGTTAAATTTGAAAGCGACTGTTTTATCGACGTTACCTGACAAATATACCATCCAGTAGCATCGTATATTCGGCTATCTGCACATACGTAGGCAGAAGGAGCATCTACCTGAACAGAGAAAGACTCCCAGTGATGCAAACATATTCATGAAAAGGTTAAAAAAAAAACATAGCTCTTTTTCTGTGTTATTGTACTGTGTTCGGTTCCTTTTCAACTAAATCGTCCACAAAAGGGAACGAACCACAAATTTCCAAAAAATGATAGCTTGTTTAGACATCCCTTCAGCCCCGAGAGGACCTCGAAGACGCACGGTTCGATAGATTTAGGCAGAAAAACGTTCGAACTGAAAGTATTGAAAGATGTTGCAACCTTTGATAGCAAAAGGGCAATGGAAGAAAGATGTGGTTCACATTCTCTTTACTATTAAGGCAGGGGAAACAAACAGAGGGGGATAAAGACCAATTTTTACACTTTGTTCGAAACCACTCGTGCGTGTTTCTAGCTACCACGTTCTAACAATCGGAAATAGTGACATCGTGCTTCATCGAGAGAGAGAGAGAACAAAATATCTCACAATCTCTCCTTTAAAGTGAAGTTCCCAACCCATTTATCCTTCAAAAAACGGATGAAATTTGCTTTCTTGGCCAAGAAAGTCAAAAACCAGAAGGAATAATTGCTAGCAATATTCTAACAATGCCAATGGTCTTGATAATCTTCCACCCATTTGGCTTTTCACCGTAAGTACTAAAAATAACTCTACGCCAAAGAGCTTTCTTTGCTTGAGTAAATCTGCACAACTACTTGAGTAACAAGGCATTTTTCCTCTGTTGAAAAGCACCATTACCGAGCCCTCCATAACACGAAGGGAGGAAAGTTTCCCCTCAATTCACCGAGTACAAGACCGAGAAGGTTCCTGTAAGCGAACTCATCAAGGTCAAGGGGCACTAATGGAAGAGTCAAATGCCTCGATTTTATATATATATCCGGAACGAAAAGATATTGCGTTGGAGACGGACGATTGACAGGACCAAAGCAAAAAGCCCACATACATGTACCAAGGTTTGTCAAAGATAGTGCCTTAAGCAAGTACTCAAGGTATATACACTGCTCTAAGATTAGGTAGGAGTCGATTTCAGAAACTGACCTATGAATCTCAATAGTAACTTCCTAGCTGCAACTATATCGTTCATGTCTTACCTGAGAACATAAAGAAATTTCCAACCAGTCTATGAATCTCAATAGTAACTTCCTTTGATGGTTTGAGGATGGAAAAGAACTAGGGAGACTACAAATAACTGATCGAGCGAGGGTAAGGCGATCGAGTGTCGGATCCCGACTTCTTTCTAAAGTCCCCCCACCCACCCCCGAAGGAATGCTCAAATAAGAGAAATCAGCAGCTCAATATCAACATTAATGTCGATGATAGCAGTATTGAATAAACAAATTAAACGAATCTCCTATAATAAAAGGTCGCGACTGCACAGGCGAAAGAAAGGTCGTAGCGGTGGCAACAACAACACAATAACAACAAGAGAGTAGGAAACTAATGCAAACTCCTCGGATGCAGGCTGCAGTGGCACAAGAAGAAGAACGATAAGGGGGGAGGTGGTGGCCTGGAGCACGTGATATCAAGTGGAAGAAAGAGTTCAGGCTTTCCTTTCATCTATTATTTGTGTTGATTGACAGGTGAATATCTATTCGAATACCTAACAATTTAGTGCTAAGACATAACATACACCCTTCAACAAAACCATATTTCACACGATATGTCGAACCCTACATAAGAATATATTCAGAGACCAGAGTCCAATAGGTACAATCCAGTACCGATAGGCCGAACCCTACTTAAGAATATAACTATTAGCACTAGAAACGTAAGTTATTGCACGATGTGTCTTGGAGAGTTCAAAGCTCTCAAAAGTCAATTATACTATATCTTTCCTGAATTTCTCAGTAAAGCATACTACCTAGTTTGTGTTCTATCAAATACATCTTGTGAATACCCTAAAAACTAACATTAGAACAATTGGTACGAGCACCATTATAGCTTTTTTTATAAGCCTTATATAAATGAAAACTGGTAAGTCGAGAAATTCAACACGTATCCACACATCAAATAATGCCACGTTTTGATAAGAAGCCAATCCACGTGTAAGCGAAACATACCTTCTGCAGCAATCCAAAAAGAAAAGGCTGGGAAGATTGCTCCACCCACCCATCTCCATCCTTTGCTTGATGAAAATCTTTGCATTCCTTTAGAAAAAGTAAATGTACAAAACACGATACATAGAGCATCCAACATGAGGATATTAAATCAAACCTAACAAAATCAAGAGTGAGTCTAAAATAGAAGAGAGAAACCTGGCACCATCTAGCTTGAGATTTCGATTTGTTAGTGTATCTCCATAAATGAAATTTGTTGCACTTTTTGCAAGCTATTCGTCTTGATTCACCGAAAGGATCTTCTCTATCCGTTGCTGAACGTGAAAATGCAAATGGACCACTCCCTCCACTCTATAAAATAAATGCATCGTCTTTGTGAAAAGCCAAATGAGATACTCGAACTAAAAATTTGGACGCATAACCTATCATCGAGTATTTAACTCATTGCTCAAGTATAATTTACCTAGAAGTGTATTGAACTGAAAAATTTTCCGGTGTTATACCTTTTTCCTAAAAATAATTTGCTTCCCAACCTCTTTTCTTTTTTACCGTTCTATAAATGGATGGGGTTATACCTTTCGTGAAGCACTCTGAAACCTGCGGAAAATGTTTAGCAGCTCTTCCCTTCTAAGTTCATCATCGTATGTTTTTCGCTTTGTCGAATCAAGTAACACCTGGAAAAAAAAAAAAAAAAAAGGCATACGACGACTCTCAAGAAACAATATAATACAAAATTCAAAAGTATTGCATAATACCTGCAAGATTAAAAGAAAAACGTTACCTCGTATGCATTTTGAAGTTTTTTAAATGCTTCAGCAGCCTTTTCATTCCCCATGTTTTTATCAGGATGGACCAACATTGCCTGATAACCAGTTTACAAGCTCATTCAACAAACTAGATATATACCATTACCACTTCTGCAGATAATCAAGATAATATTTCAAAAAATATCAAATTTCCTGGATGTATGACACCACTTATAAATAAAAGTGAGATTTTCTTCCATTAATCGATACAAAATGCAGTGTTGAATAACAGAAGACCACAACATTAAAAACAAACAATAAGCCGATCCATCAGGAAAATACATGAGACAGAGCATAATGAATATAACAATGTGAAGGGTGAATACTAATAGATCATGCAAGCTGTGGCAATATTAAGGCAAATTTACCTTTCTCCTATACTCCTTCTTGAGTAGGGACGGATCCATATTCTCGTACCGAGACAATCCCAAAACTGCGTAGTGGTCTGTACAATTCAGCAAACGAATGACTTCATCTTCAGAAGATAGCTCAGAATCAGCTCCACTGGTTGAGGGTGTGCCTGAACTCCGATCAGCAGCAAAGCCTGCACCACTAAATTCAGAAGACGATGCTTGCATAGGATCATCATGAAAGAAGCGAGGCTGATCTGGCATCCCAGCAGTTTGTTCAGGATATCTGTTCGATCTCCTATGCTCATTTATGTTGTTCTTTAGGAAATAAATCAGAGCATCACTTGAAACAAATGACAAATTCAGGCCCAAAACCAAACCAAACCATCCAGTGCATACCCATACACAATAAACCGAATACAATGTGGTGATAAAGAGTGCAACTCGTTCATGGCTCAATATAAATGCCAGCCCTGAAAATTGTGATGCAACACCTCAATGAATGAGCCTTGACATGATGATAGCATAAATGGAAAAATTGTGGACGTTCTAAAGGTAAAAAAATCACCTCCAAGAAAGATGATCAGCATTGTTGTCCAAAAGTTTCCATAAAACCAAAGGAAAGCTGCTCCAGAGATGGCGATGGCCAAAATTGCAAAAGCAAACCCAACAAAAATTCCAAGGGAAGCAGCTACCACCTGATTAGATTTCATAAATTATTTGTCATTAGAGGATTTTTAAACTGTACTTCAACTTGAAAATAGATAACACCATCTTACTTAAAGTAACTATTATATGGAGAGTCCACAAGGAATCTAAATTAAAAAAAAAATGCTTTAAAACAGCCATCCGTACAGCCACACAGTATAATTTTTCTTTAATCCCATGCTTCAACTGGTATCATCCATATAACATCAACTACATGCTTAGAATAAAAAATAACTTGGTGATTTAATTCCTTTGAATATCCATAAGCTATTAGAGACTTTCTCTAAGGGGAAAATCACTATTGTTATTTAAGATAATAAACAAGACAAAGGACGAGAAAAAATAGTAAATAAAACACGTTAAAACAAGATAGGAACTAACATCTATGCAAGAGTATTGGAAATGCTTACCAAGATCACAAGGAATTTAATAATTCCAACCATTGCAATTGTTGAAAGAATGGAGAACCATATAACTGAGAAGAAGGATGTTGTCCCCATACGTACAAAGGAATCGATGCCCCTGAGGGCACAGTCCAACCATACAATTGATAAAAGAAGCATTACATTCCCCAAATGCATCATCCATTTCAAAACAATGGGATATGCTTTCATAATCTTCTTTCCAACATAGGCACTTGCGTTTAGCAAGTTGTTCTTCATAGAATTAAACAAAGGTCTTTGTTGCTCCAGCAACACATGGGCTGCTTCCAATACCGATGACATAGATTCCACGAAGCTTTTCACGAAAACATTATCTGAAAATTTTAGATTACCCATCACATTTCTGATGTGTTCTCCGTTCAAAAAGCAGCTGAAACTACCATCTAAAGGATCCTGCTCCTTATCAGACCCATTGTACTGTTCTCCTATACTAGAATCCTCATTATTTCCATTGCAGTTCCCGGATTCTTCGGGGAGACATGTTGGCTCGTCTGGAGAATGAAATCCTTCCACTCCTTGTTTTTCTTTTCTCAAGGACTTCTCAGATTTCTTTAGATTCTTTATACCCTCCCCAGAGTTTCTATTCACCATACCTTCCTCAAAGGCTCTACTATGGTGGTTGTCATTCGGTAGTCCCTCTCCGGGGAATACCTTTATCTCTCGTGCTCTCCCCTGTCCCTTGGACTGCAAGTCTGAACCTCTCTTTTTATTGTTCGATACATGGCGCTCTGACCCTGTTTTCTGTTGGTTACCCTTACGAGCCATTGAATCGTAAATTTAAGGTTCAATTTCAAGAAGTATTTGATTAAATCATTTCTAATGACAATACATGGTCCAGAACAAGCAACCAGGATAATGTGCAGGGGCTATAGCCTGTAGACAAAAGAAGTAAACAGTCAAAGCTGAATTTTTCTTCCTTTGATGATAATTAAAGTAACAAATATGTTCACGAGAAAATAAATACATAATTGCCAGAAAAACGAAACAAGAACATTAATGGACTGGAAACGTAATCTAGCACTGCAGAAAAGATAATTAAACGGAGGGAAATCAACAGGGACAGAAAAACTTCCAAATACATGGAAAATAAAAAATTAGAGTCAACTAATACGAAAATAACACTAATTCATGATATATGTTCATAATCCATATTTAGGGAAATGCCTCATTTCCAGTACCAGTGTAGCAGAGCGTTGATTACAAGTGACAAAAATCAAGAACAAAGTTAATTCCAAGAGTACCAACTGCATAAATATTCCATATAGAACGCTATTCAAGAATAACATTTTTCCGAATATATTTCCGGTGGCAGACACCTTTTTTTGTTTTTCTGATTTCTCTGAATTGCTGATTCCAGAAAGACTGTAAATTTTGAGAAGGCAGCAAATTTCAAACCGAAGTTGAATAAGAACCAGAGAGAAAGTCTTATTTCCGATGAATCCAATGAAAAGAGAAGGGGAAAAAAAAAAGTAAACAGCAGAACAACCTCAAATGTCAAAAGATACAAACATGAAAAAAAGAAACCTCGAATTGCAGTATCTATGAGATGAAGTCCGCCGCCGACGGGAATGAGAAAGGAGCAGCCCAGGCGACAGAAACCCTAATAACCAGAAGTCGAGGGGAGCATAAAAAAAGCAGAAATTGGAGGCTAGATCTTCATGAAGTATGCAGTTGATATGGAGGAAGTTGAAGCGACGGATTCAATGGCGGACGAAGAGTTGGGTACTGCAGTGGCGGCCGGAGAGGAGTACCGGGAAGAGGCCCCCTTATCCGAAGACCAAGGCAGCAGAATGGGATTGAAGAATAGGAGCCCGTCCGGCTGAAATCCGTCGCAATTCGAATTGGTGCGTTGAAAACACGACGTGAGAATTCCGTACGCCGATTAAAGCTATCTCGCCGTCTCCATTACCAACGGCAAGGACAAGAGTTGGAGATCAGCCTGCTCCAATAAAAAAATTAGATAAATTTAATAATTTTCTAACAACGCGTCAAATGTCACGTGACTAAAAATTCCCACATGATTCCTTAAATAACAATTTTTTTTATTTTTTATTTAAAGAAAATTTAAACCTCCAACTTAAAAAAATAAAAATAAAAATTAGAGTATAATATTTATTACATTTAATTAGTTTATAAAAATTTAAATTGCTATGTTTAATTTTTTTAAATATATAATTATTGGTTACTTTTTAAATAAATTTAGAGTATAATATTTTTTTTAAGTATTTTAATCATTTTACTGGATTGAATTTAATTTTAATTAGATATTGTTTTTACTATTGGATGCATGAAAATAAAAGATAAAAAATGTATTTTAATTAAAAGTCACGTTCATGTGATTTAATAATGCATTTCATATGGTTAAATATATGAAAATCATAACATATAAATTATCATTATGGTTTTTCTTTTTGTTTATTGATTTCAACTTTTCAAAATCTTATTTTAAATGAACGATGGTGTGAGAATTTGAACATTTATCATCTTAATCGATAATATATGTCTTATTTAGTTAAGATATATTTAAATTTATAAGTAATAACTTTTAAGGAAGTAAAATTATAAAATACGTAAATATAATCAATTGATGGGACTGAATACCGATTTGAGAATTGTTATCTCACAAAAGAGGTAATCGAGTTCCTCTCTAAATCCTAATTGCTTCTATTTTCTTTCATTAGGTTTAGACGCTATTTTATTAATTATTTTATAATTTTTTATTTTCATTAAAGTATTGACAATTTTTTATAATAAAGAACTATTAATTTATACTTTTATTGCATATTGATTGATTTTTTTTTTTATAAAATTGTAATTGTATATTTATTTTGTTAAATACTATTAATTATTAACTGTTAAAATAAAATATTTATATTAAATAATATATATATACCAATAAAACTAGTCCATGTTTTTCTTATAAAAATTACTTCCATAATTTTTTGCACGTTGTCCGTAAATATTAAATATCATAATTTTTTGCACGTTGTCCGTAAATATTAAATATCACAACAATTAGACTAAATTTTACAATAATTTTATCTTTTAGGTAGCATTATTTTTATAATAAAAATTAGACTAAATTAATACCAATATCAATAAACCACTAAAAAAATATATAATTTTAACTTTTAAAATTTCAATTATAACCTTTAAAAAATCTAAAAGATACCCAACTTAAATAAATAAATAAAAATAAAATATAAAAAATAAAACTATAGAAACACACCGTCAGCGGACCCAGAATTCTCAAAAGTTTCATTAATACCTGGAACGTTTTTAAAAAAACTTAAAAAGTCTCATAGATCTATGAATTTTAAAAAATCGAAGATCCATGGATCTATTCGGCAAAAAATTAAAATTCAATTAGAGACGTTTAAAAGTTCAAAGACCAAATAGATACAAACTTCAAAATTTATGGACTATGGCCTAAATAAATAGTATCCATTGGACAAACACGTATAGCCATAAATCGTTTATTTAAAAAAAAAAAAAAAAAAGAGTAGGCAGAAACAAGAATGACCTCGCCAAACTAAGCATAATTCAACTCGTCCCTTTAGAAAAATAAAATAAAACAACATTTACATAACAAATAAAAAATGATATTCATAGCACAATGCAAAGTATGGACTTCCAAACTAAAAGCATTTTGGAAAATGACAGGTAAACTGGCCCTCTGATCAAACCCTAAAAACAAATCCTCCAATAAATGTTTCACTTTCTAGAAGCCCCAAATATTAAACACACTAACAAATAACATCTCCATGTCTATCGGACAACGATTCTCAATATATTTGGATGACATCTCACGTTTCCTAAAGAGGTAAAAGATCTTTTGGATATGACTTCAACGTATCACTAAGAATGCAAAAGCCCTACTATGGAAAAACCTCATCATGACTCTCAAGAAAGAAATCAAAGAATATTTGCATAAAAGACACAAAACTTTTCAACAATGTTGTCTACCAAGCTATTGGTGTAAAGTGTGTAATATTTTTTACCTCGTCTTTTGTAAACACATTGATTAAGTATACTATTGGAAATTTACTTTACATTGATTAAGTTTAGTTTTATAGACTTGTAGTACATTACCTGATACGAGGAGAAAAGACTATAGAATGAGTTGAGTTTAGATTTCAAGAGGTCTAAGAAGCAACCTTGTCTTATCCTTGGCGCTCTTCTTTTTCCTTTTTTAGAAAACAGAGAGAGGCCAGAGAAAGTATCTGCATAAGCGACTTAAGGGATCCTGCAGGCCTTCCATCTCATAGTGACCAAACCGCCAGTCTCTTTTGGCGTAAGGCCGCTGAATAGGCTCATCGAGGCCTCCTGCAGCAAAAATTAATCATAATCGTTGAGGATCGTTGGGAGGGAGTCCCACGTTGGCTAATTTAAGGAATGATCATGGGTTTATAAACAAAGAATACATCTCCATCGGTACGAGGCCTTTTGGAAAAACCAAAAGCAAAGCCACAAGAGCTTAGGCTCAAAGTGGACAATATCATACCATTGCGGAGAGTCGTGATTTCTAACAAGTTTAGCAAACTGAAACTACTCCAGAACTCACCTGCATACATCAAACCATGTTTATTAACAGCCCGATAAAATGGCCGGGTCTTCTTCTGTTTGGCAGCTCTGTGCAGATCATTCCATGCTTGTATACGATCTTCACGGGTAACTTTACCAGAGGTTGCTATCTGTTTATGATAACCACCAAGTGTTCTAATATCAGGAAACAATTTTACGTGAGGGGGATTTTTATTGGGAAACAAAGGAGAGGGATATCATCTACTTTAGAGAATAGGTGGTACGATTGACGTGGTATTCGGGCGAGATCATTAGAACGATCAACTGCTACAAGTCCAAATTTAGGACCATAACCATCAGCCCACTCCCAGTTATCAGAGATGGTCCAAAATAAATAACCAAGTACAGGAACACCCTACAAAGGTAATAGGCAGCCCGGTAATAAATTATATATTATTTTGAACAAGAGACATGAAAGGGAATAAATGTTCAAGGGATACAAACTCTCAAAGGGAGTGAAAAAGAACACATACAAACAGTAAATACAACAAAATAGAGATTAGCCATGAAAATAAATAAATATTTAAAAACTAAGAACTTTCCCATAAACTTCGTCTGAAAGACTTACAGAGCTTGCACATGAATGATGAAACTATGAACAAGACCTCCACCAAACATGGAAAACCGATAGCTAATTCAAATCTCTGAAAGAAAACCAAGAATGGACCACCAACCAACAAAACCCTTTTTAAAACTCATCATAAAGCAACCTCTAAAAAACTCGTCAGCTTTTCAAAAACTGTAAAACTCATTGAAAAAGCTTTAGAAGAACCATCACCACAAAGAAATAAAGAAAACCTCTTCATGCAAGTCGGTCCAAATATCTCAGAGAAGACAACATAAAACTTTACAAAGCTAAACCATGACACTTAAGACCACGTCTTCTATCGATTGAGCAAATTTGGTTGGCATGGATGAAGAAAAAGGAGGAGTTTTTTTTGTCACAATCCTCACCTAGAACTGGATTTAAAGGAGTGCAAAGAGTGGTGAGTGTTTCCCACAAAGAGTTGTGTTCAACAATCTGGTATCAGAGTGAGGTTGGTATAGGCTGATCTCTTGAAATTCTTAATATACTTTGTGGTTGCAGCTCTATCTGATTTTTCACATCAGAAACGATTTTTTGAGATTATTAGTGACTGAGTTTCTTCGTGTCGTGAGTAGTTTGTGACTTTGCAAGTTTTGTGTCGAAAAAACTTGTTTGGTATTACTAAGGAATAGTCAACACAATAGGTGATTTCCAAATCGTTGAAAGAATTAAGAAACTCAACAACAACAACTACAAATCGTGGGCAACATGCATGATGTTCTATCTACAAGGACAAGACTTCTGAGAGGTCGTTGGCAGAAGTGAAACTACGCTGCCAGAGGAGGATCTCAATGGCACCTTGCGCAAATGAAGAATCAAAGCAATGTTTGCCATGAAGACCATGATCGAAGAAGAGATGTTAGAGCACATTCGGGATGATAAGACACCGAAAGAAGTATGGGACACGTTTGTGATATTGTTCTCAAAGAAGAACGATACAAGGCTACATGGAGAACGAGCGGTTATCAATCTGACAACGTGACATGACAATTGCTCAATACTTCCATAGGGTCAAGTCGATTTTCGGGACATTACTGAACTAGATCCGACTCGAATAATGAGGATCATTATCCATGGATTGCAACCAGAATATAGAAGCTTCGTTGTTGTGGTACAAAAATGGTCTGCTTAACCATCACTTATAGAGTTTGAAAATTTGTTACCCAGCTAAGAAACCATGGCTAAGCAAATGGGAGACATCACGTTAAAGAGTGAAGAAGAAGCACTCTACACAAATGAAAGTCGAAGTAACAATAAGCCGTCTACCAAACGTGAATACAAAAATGGTGATAAAGAAAGAATTCACCAAGGAACTGCACAACCTTGGAGTGCTCAGAAGAACAACAATAAGAATTCTCAAATGATGAGATTTGAAGGTATTTGTTGCAATTGCGGGAAGAAGGGCCACATATCCAAGGATTGTTGGTCAAGGAAAAAGGTCGTCGAAAGCAACGTGACAACCTCCCAAAAGGAAATGGATAATGAATGCGATGTAGAGTTATTATGTGGCATAGAAGAAGACAAGCTAGCGCTCATGGCAATGATAAGAGAGTATATCGATTACAAGAATGACTGGATTGTTGATTCAGGCTATTCAAACCACATGACTGACAGTCAAAGCGGCGCAATGAAAGCAGGTGGCTCTCGGAAAAGAAAGTATTACCATACTTAGACAACATTGAAGAAATTCTACCACAAAAGACCGAGGAGAAATCTAAGGAATATGAAGAATGATTTATAACACGAAAAGTTAGACAAAGAAATCTACATGAACCCACCAAAGGAA